TGCAAAATTGGCCTCAGCGATTTTCTGCCATGCGGGAGGCGCGTGGCTCGTAGTCAGTGATGATGGGGCAAGGGTCGTTACGGAGAAACGTGTTCGCCACAGCGTACCGCCTGCTGTCGCACAGCTCAATCAACATATCCCGGTTCGGCACATCAGCGGTTTTTTTTTTATCTTCCCGTCCGAAAGCAACGTCGCCCATCAGCTCCTCCTCCCCGGGCCTTCTCGCACCGAGTCTTGCGTCGAAGTCCCCTACGATAGCTGTGATTCCCCGGGTGTTGATCCCATCCATGCGCATGTGCAGATCTTCGTAGAAGCCAGCCCATTCGCCGTAAGGTCTTTACTTGTGGGGAGCATATGTTCCAATGATTGAAAATATGCCGTCCACGATTTTTGCTTTGAGCGCTGCGATCCGGTTCGTCGCTGGAAAAAAAGCCCAAAGTGTACGTAAGGAAACTCTTCGAGACGATCAAACCGACGACTGCTCGTTTTTTTGTCTCCTGAGTTGGATCCCGAAAGGAAGATTCGATGACCGCTCTCCCGCTCGAAGCTGTCAGCTTTCACTCGCAAGGGCCTCTTGAAGAATCGCAACATCAACCATATTCTTTTCCACATGCGTGCATATTTGTTGTATCTTAATATCGGTCAAGAACTCGACGCTCCAGGAGCACACGTTGATGGTCCCACCGTTGGCAAGCACGTTCGGAAAATGCATTGAATTGCCCATGGACTGTCGTGTTTCCTACTGGTGGCCGTCTTCGCCCTTCTTGCCCTTCCCTGGCCCGTTTGACATCTTCTTTGCACGGTCAAGCCTTGATTGTGCGTCAGACTGAAGGGTGTCCAACTCCAGGGTTTTCTGAAGGTCGTCCAACTGCTCCCACTCTCCGTTGCACCACTCCAGCTTCAGGGTAAAATCGACGACAGTGGCCTTGACGATGTCCTCGCCGGCAACCTTGAGCACCCGATTCGCGAGGTCCACCTCCACCTCCGGCTTTCCATAGCCCCAAGCCGTTAGCATGCGCTTGAATTTGAATAAGACCGCTTCCGCTGTGCGGGGGCCGATGGGCACGTCGATCTTGGCCCAGGGTCGGTCCGAACCACTCTGTGGGGATTGGCGGGCGGCTGCAATGAGGAACTCCCGGTACTCGCTGGCGGTGCACTTTGACGAAAATCACACGATTGAGCTCCTCGCCCTTGTGGTACGGGTCTGGCGGGCACGGAAGGCCGACTTCTTTGCACATGGTGTTGATCCACGCCTGGGATTTGTCGAGCGTGTCGGCGTTGGTGATGTTGCCGATGACCACGGTGAGGTTTTCACCCGAAGCTTGCTGCGTGGTTGTGCTTGCTTTGGCCTGGATATTCTCGATGTCCCCCCTGAGCTTGTTTAAATTCGTTATGTAGGGATTCGTGGTTATTCTCGACTCCTGTCAGGCGTAATCCCATGCCCTTCAGCTCTTTGTTTACCTCCAGTTTGAAGGTGAACATATCGGCCATGAATGTATCGATGGACATCTTCATTGTCTTGAGCTCTAACTGCAACAACTTCTTGATTTTCCCCATGGTGACCTGGTCCAGGTCCTCCTCAACCTCATTGTCGACGAATCCATCGTCCGGCCTGCCCTTCTTCGGCGCAGGTGAGTGCAAGGGGGATAACAAGATTCGCACACAGAGAACCGTAGTGAATGTAAGAGGTACGTGTGTGTAAGAGGTGAGTGGATGTAAGAGGTGAACGAGAATTTAAGGGGGTACGGGAATCTGGTCACTTACGCATGACCTTACACTATTGAGACAGCTCCCAGGTTTTTTTTATATTGGCCCACTGAGTTTAGACACCCCTTTAGACACGGCGCACCATTGCCCTTACGATGAGAGCGACGATGAGTCTTCCAGCGCAGAGTGGATGCGTTGCGTCACTGTGTCGACCGCGCGCGCTGGAAGTTGTGGCGCTCATGCAAGCACTGATGACGAGGGCGCGCGCGAAATAGCATTGGAGGCGGCGATGACCGATGGGAGAAGGGAAGCCTTGCAGCAGTAAAGTAAATAGACGGGGAATGACGGATGGCGAGATGCAGCAAGACCATGGGAGCGGATCCGCATGGGGAACGGCGGAGGGGTGGCACGGGCAGGAAGGGGCAGACGGCGGAGGAGGGCGCGCAGGTGGAGGAACCGATAGGGCAGCAGGGCGTCGAGGGGGGCGTGGTCTTGGGATGAAAGGAAGGGCCAGGGAGAGCAACCAGTAATTGCGGGAAAAAATGAAGAAGGAGGTGGACGGCGAAAAGGGCGAAGAGGGTGGACAGGATGAGCACGATGACGGCGAACATGAGCAGGGTTGGAGGGGGAGCAGCAAAGAGATTAGCGAACCCACCGAAGAAAATTACTAGTGATGTGCGACGATGGAATGTCGACTCGATGATGAGTCCTTTTTCCTTCTCGATGCTCCTCCTCCTTCCCTTCATTCATCCTTGATCCTGGATCCTCCAAGTCGGTCCACCTCGATCCTTAATCCCTGATGCTCGTCCTCCTGCTCCTCGATGCTCCTCCTGCTCCTCGACCCTCGATGCCCGATACCCCTTCTCGACCTTCCTCATCCTCCTCCTCCTCCTCCTCCTCGTCGTCCCCCTCCTCGGTTCTGGATCCTCGATCCTCCTCCCCCTGTTCCTAGGTTCTTCTCTTCCTCCTCCTGGTCCTCCTCCTCCTCCTCCTCCTCCTCTTCTCCTCCTAAGTCAAATCCTCCTCTTCCATTTCCTTATACAAAATTTCTCCTTGTCGCACCCCGAGGCCAGTTTTTAGGGCGTGCCAGGTGTTTCGCCTGAGACTTCCTCACCATTTATGACTCTGAAGCTTAAACATGGCAACAGTTTCACACATGGAGGGCGGGTGGTTTTCAGAATGTGGCGCTCGTCTTAGCGCCGCGCACATTCGTTTGAACAATGTGCCACAAATTCAAGGATTGAGGGCGGGTGGTTTTCAGAATGTGGCTCTCACGCGAGCGCCGCTCACATTCGTTTTAAACATTTGCCAGAGTTTCACGGATTGAGGTCGAGTTGCTTTCAAAATGTGGCTCTCGCATTAGCGCCGCGCACATTCGCTTTTAAAAAGTTGCCAAAGTTTCACGGATTGAGGGCGGGTCGTTTTCAATAATGTGCTCTCGCCTCAGCGCCCCGCACATACGTTTCAAACAGAGCTTCACGGATTGAGGGCGGGTCGTTTTCAAAATGTGGCTCTCGCCGTGGCGCCGCACACAATCGCTGTTTTGAAGATTTGCCCGAGCTTCAAGGATTGAGGGCGGGTTGTCTTCAATACGTGGCTCTCGCGTGAGCGCTGCGCACATTCGTTTTATACATTTGCCAGAGAACCGTAGGCCGGCGACGCAGGGCAACGGAACGTGCGACAGCCGTCACGTGGCAGCGTCACACTGCGCGCGTAAGCAGTGTCACCACCCATGCCGAATACTGCAAGCCTTTGCACCCAAACTATGGTGCGAGGGTATCTTAGGCGTGCAGCGAGCCAGCGCTAGAGGATGGTCAAATCCTAAGAGACGCACGCATGCACGCACGCACGCACGCACGCGCACACACACATACACACACCTACGCACACACACATACACACACACACACACACACACACACACGCACGTCAACACCGCCACACATACACACAATAATGCAAAGCGGATCAAACACATTTGCAACACCATTTAGACACGCACCTGCACTTCAATTAGACGCGAATTTCACTAATGTAGGAGTGATTTTCCAAACAAGACTGCGCGATTTAGAGACTTGCGGTTAGACAAGGATCGATCTTTCAGACACAGCTGAGATTTGGACACTACGTACTACGTAGACATCGAGGCACGGGGCCTGCACGAGAACGAGATAGACACGCAAGTGTCGAAGACCCGCACTCGGCGAGGCACAGCCGCCGGAGGCCATCCCGAGGCTGCAAAGCCAACGGGCACCGACGAAACCTCCCGAAGCCCCGGAACCCGGGGGGCACCGCGCGCGCCGCAGTGGGAGGCGAACCTCGGACCTCGGGCAGCGGGGGGGGGGGGGCCTCGGGACCTCGCTGGCGCCGCCGAGGCTCCGGGGAGGGGAGCAGCGGCCAGGGGGGGGGCGACGCCCGGGCGCTCGGGCGCGGCAGCAGCGAGGGGGGAGGCGAGGCCCGGCCCGCCGCGCAGGCCTGCGAGGCCAGGGGGGGCAGAGCCTCGGGCGCTGGAGGCCCCGACCGCACCGAGGCCCCCACGCGTCGTGAAAGACGCACGGCGGCGAGTCTGTCACTGGTCTCGGCCTCGGGGGGCCCTCGCCGTGCCCCGTGGCCGACAACGGCTCGGGAAGAAAAACCGGTGCCGGGAAATGGGTCGAGACCTCTGGGGGTCGACGCCATCACAGAATCATGACGACCAGTGTGGTCTCATCAGCACGTGGGGCCCTGCGGAGCTCTTGATCCCTCCCATCCCCAGGGCCGCGTACCAAACCCAGACCTCCAACAATTCGATATAATCAAGATCCAAGTTCTTAATGGTTTCGGCCTTGGCGGGCCCTCGCCAAGCCCCGGGACTATCAAAAAACGATCTGGGGCGAAGAAACGATCCCCGATGGTCCAAGTCAAAGGATCTAGTCGTCGGAATCGTCGTGACCGTGGTGGCCGTGCTGCTCTGCTTAGGGCTTGTTTCCCCTGCGCAGTGACCAACACCACCATCCCCAATTTTGTCCCTTCTCGCTCCGTGCCGTCTTCTGTTGCCGATTCTCCTTCGGGGGGGGGGGCCCTGGGGCCCGAAAAGTGGCCCCAGAAAACGACGAGATTGCGAGAGAGAAAGAGAGAGAGAGAGAGAGAGACAGAGAGAGAGAGAGAGACAGAGAGAAAGAGCTTCGTCGTGCCGTCAGTTGTTTCTCGACCCCTGGAGGCCAGGGGAGGTTCATGGAGAGATAGGGGGTGGAGGGGATTGGGTGAACTAGTCGGCGCACGAACCCGCGGCGGCGGGGAAGGAGGCCGGTCACCTGGTACTCCAGCTCGTCCAAATCCTTGGCCGACTGCGCCTGGCTCTCAGGACCGCCGGCTTCTCACAACACTCGTCTTCTTCCGCGTCCTCCTGCTCCTCTTCCCCGAACCTCTTCTTCCTCCCCGAGGCTTGGAACCTCTGGAGGTGCACCCAAAGACGGGCACACTCTTCGAGTCGCCAGCCCACGAATTCGGCAGTGGCATCGATGCAGGAACGCCAAACTGCGCCCATCTGACCATGACAGATGATACGACAAAGAAACATCCAAGGCGACACCACCAGCAGCAACGCGAGGAGCTGGTGAGGGTCCTCCGGGTGGTGTGGTCCCTCAGTTCCCCCTCAAGACATGGTCCCTTTCCAGCTCGGGGAGCAATCGTGCTCATCATCGCTTTAGGCTCTCCCTCCTGGCGGTGGTGGTGCAGTCCCGTCTCCTTACTTCGAGCGATGGCCTCTCCAGGCCGACAGCTACGAGCTTCGACTCCGAATAGGAACACCCGAGTTAGCTGATAGAATTCCATTGCACCATGTGGACCCTTGGATCTAAATTGGATCCGACTGGGCTCCAGTCGACTCCATTGGGCCCCAGTGGATCATGCATGCGACTCTACTGGACTGATTTATACAATATCAGTGCGACTCCATTGGACCCCATGGACTCCAAATGGACTCCCTGGGACTCCCATATAGATAGCACCATCGGATCCCATTAGACTTCATTGGAATACCTAGAAGTCTCCATACTTCTGCATTGCGATTTGTTGGACTCCATTGGTCTCCACACGGTACATCCGCAAACTGTTCGCCAACTTTGCCGCGCATTGACGTGTATACTTTGACGGGCATCCCCCCGTTACCCTGGTCTCAATATTGGGCGCATGGCGAAGAGCCTTTGAGCTCACCCACGGGCTCACGACATAATGTTGCACCACCACTAACCCAGACCGAACCCAATAAGGCCGGGGGAAGACGTTAGCAGACAGACGTCATATACAACAACGGTGTGCCGTCCGCGCCAGCTGGTGCAACGTTTTGTCGATGCACCGTGCGACCGCAGTGAACTACATTCAAATGCCAATTTGCCCATCGAAATTCATTGCATTCTATAGGACTCCTAAAACTCTGTAGACCCATTGAACTCCAGAAGACGGCATTCGACTCCAGGGCTCCATTGTGCTCCGTCGGGAAACACTTTACTCCACTAGGCTCCATGGGGCCTCGTAGAATTCTATTGGGCTCCGGGCTCCATTGCGTTCCATCGGACCGCACTGGAACTTCGCTCCATCAGACTTAGTTGGGCCCCGCTGGTCTCCATTTGATTCGATTGGGCTCCGTTTGTCTCCACTGGAACACGTGAGACACCGAAGGACTCTATGGGATTCCGTCGGGCCAGTGGACTCCTTTGGACTCCATTGATATCCATGCGATTCGATTGGATGTTACGGGATTCCACTGGATGCACATCGGACTCAGTTGAGCTCCATTGGAGTACCCATAGGACCCCATTGGAATGCCCGTCGGGGTGTTCTTGAACACATAGAGATAGAAAGCAACAATTGGGAACACATGGGGGTACGCAGTACCATGTACACAGGAATAGAGACGAACCCACCTACTCATTCATCGTGCCAGGGGCAAGGGGGGGAACTCTCATAGGCAAGCCTACTTGGAGAAATGGTGTTTAGTTTCATTTCCTACTCCTGGTCTTCCTCCACCTCCTGGAGCGCACAAGAACACCCAGAATCCCCAGTTGATACAGAGGAGCGCCCACTTCAGGAAGACGTAGTCCAGGCCGGGCCTGGATGCCTATGTCGAACCCAATTGATCGAACACCCATGTTTGTGTATTGTTGTCACTTGCAAGTATCCAGAATTGCACAAGCCCGAAGAACCCAACCAACAAAATACACAACTCAACAACTTGCACACAACTGCTCCAACAACTCATGGTTTCCTTGGGTTTCCAATTCTCTTTCATGTCCACAAGGAGTTTTCCGCGTAAGCGCAAGCTGTAGCAACCCCTTACGTAAGTGCCCCCTGCTCCTGGTTGTAACTGTTGTGTGAGCCTGGGCACGCACGTGCCACTTGTATGCATGGATATGGACACCGAATCTGGCTCGCAACCCGTTCTCATGGGTCGTCCCGAATCGTCGTTTTCAGAAGGGCCCGCCGGGTTCCGGAGACGGCCCACGAATTCGGAAAATCGCTCCTGCTCGTGATCTGGCCGGGTCGGCCTACTCGTGGGCACCAGCTGTGGGAGGTGGGCCTGTAGGTTGAAGACCCTTTCGCCAATAAAGATCAGTACCGAATTGCTTCACGACGTGAGGCAGAAAACCACCAGACAGGCCGGGAATGTCACTCGAAACTACAAGAGCACACGCGCTGAAGGAGGAAGGAAAAATAAATGGGAAGACAGCTGAGGGCAAGTAGGAGACAGCAGCAGGAAAACACAAGAAGCACAGAGAGCAGCGGAGGGCCTGGCTTCTGAAGAACTGCTGCATCTGTCCCAGCGGGAGCAGGAAAACGAAGCCCTTCATGATGCCCAGGATGTGCACAATCACCTTTCGGAGGACGGGAGAGCAAAAGGGCAGATGAACAACAATACTCTCCTTCTCTCTCTCTCTCGCCGTCTCTCCCTCTCTTTCCCGCACTCCCTCTCTCTCTCTCTCTCCCTCTTCCGCCATCCCTTTTCCATACAATCAATTCCTCCCTGTCGCACCCCCCCGACGTAGGGCGGGCCGGGCGTTTCGCCTGAGACTTCCTCGCCATGTATGTTCCTGAAGCTTGTGTTTCGCAGCAGTGTCACGCATTCGTCTGAGTAGTCTGCAACTGCAACAGTGTCAAGAATGGAGCGCCCCAATTTGCGACAACTTCACGGATGGAGGGCGGGTCCTTTTGAAGATGTCACTGGCCTTAGCGCCAGGCGCATTCGATTTAAACGAAGGGTGCGCACTGCCATGCCCGCGGCCGAGAGGCTAAGTGCCACGGGCCCGTGGCTGTATGATTCGAGTGCGGCGCCTTTGTGGTCGGCCAGGGCCGCAACCCGAAGCCCTCCGCCGATTGCACTTGTCGCTCGCGCGTCGCCTAGACGAGGGCGAACGAGCGAGCCCAGATCTAGTGCGATCTGCGCTATTGCCATCTACGGAACGGAGCCCTTCTTCCTGTCCATCCTGGTCAGCGCCCTCGGCCACCCCCTGATCCAGGAGGTGGGGTGGCATCGGGCTAGGCCCTAGGCCGCTGCAGGCGTTTGTCCTGCGCCTGCACGTATCTTCGTGCATGGGCTTGTGTTCCATGCGCAGCCTTGATGAGGGGCAATTGTTTCACATCGTTTGCGTTTTTATTCCAGTCGGTTTTCTCTGGCTCTCGGACGCCCTCTTTGGTCTGTCGTCCTCGTCCTCGTCCTCGTCCTCCCTCTCTCCTCACCTCCTCCTCCCTCCTCCCTCCTCCCTCCTCCCTCCTCCCTCCTTCCTCCTCCTCCTCCTCTCCTCCTCCTCCTCCTCCTCCTCCTCCTCCTCCTCCTCCTCCTCCTCATCATCATCATCATCATCATCCTCCTCCTCCTCCTCCTCCTCCTCCTCCTCCTCCTCCTCCTCATCCTCTCCTCCTAAGTCAAATGCGAGTGAACGTATGGAAGTGCCACATTTCGGGAACACCCTAAGAAAAATCAAACACATCGAATGATCCTAAATGTAGATGGCGGATAACTCGGGAACGCAAGACCCTCGCCGGGAACCGGGAGGAAACACCAGTCCCGGGGAAGGGGTCGAGACCACTGCAGTGGGGGGGCTCCAGTGTCCGACTGTGGCCCTTTCGGCCAAGTGGCCCCCTCTCAGCTGTCGCCTTTCGACCGCCGGCTGCCAGCGGCCGCTGGCCCAGAACGCACCTCCCTCGTCCCCCGACCTCCGACGATGTGCTGCTCTCAGTCCCCGTGCTCTTCCTCGACTTCGGCCTCCGAGGGTCGCACACGCGGGCCCTGGGACCAGCACAGAGGGATCCGGGGCAAAGGATTTCCCCCCCCCCAGGGGAAGCTGTCGGGAGCTCCGGGGCCGCGGATCGAACAAGAAACACGCCGGAGGGGTGCCAGTGTGGACTGGGGACCTTTCCGTCCACTGGCGCGCGGCCCCTCTGCTGCCTGGGAGCAACCAGAACGGTGTGAGACAGACCTGTGGCCGCTGCCTCGAACGCCTGCCCCAAAGGGCGGCTGGAACGCTTCTGCCGTATTGCCTGGCACGTCGGGGCGTAAACTTCTCCCGACGTGCCCGACGGAGCACAACAAAATGTTAAGCAGGAGGAGGAGGAGGAGGCGGAGGAGGCAGAGGAGGAGGGAGGAGGGAGGAGGAGGAGGAGGAGGAGGAGGAGGAGGAGGAGGAATGTGACTTACACCTTTCGTCATCCGCTCATTCTGGCCCCTCCCTGGCCCCCGCCGTGTGGCGTGTGGGGAGCCCCGGCTGTCGGCTCGGCTGCTCGTGGCGCACGGCCCCCCTACTTGTCGCGGCCGCCTCGAGCGGAGTGGCATACTGGCTCGCGGTCTGCTTGCAAGCGGCACGTGGCACGTGGTCCTCTCGTGAACCCCCTCGTGCGAGATGGAATGTGGACCCGAGGGCTGGGCTGCTCTTAGGTCTTTTGGAGCTTTCGGACCCAGGGGACTCCTACTAGGCCTCGGCATCGTCAAAAACGACTCAGGATGAAAAACCGGTCCCAGGGAATGGGTCGAAACCGCTGGGGGTCGATGTTATGAAAAAAACATGGCGTCGGGGGTCTGGGCCAGTGTAGTGCGTCTCCCCCCGCGGGGCGGAACGCAGTAGGTCGACCCCGTCGCTTGTGACCCGCGGCCCGTGGCCCAATCCCAGCTTTCGATTCGCTTTCCGGTGGCCAGTTGCGGCGGCATCTCATCAGTCGATCGGGCTGTAAAGTACCCGTGGGCCCCTCCCTCTGGTACCGAGGCTCATTGCGGTCTTCTGGCTCCTCCTGTTCGAGTGGGCGCTCAGTCGCGGCCAAACTC